GTTAATATATAATGGGGACTTCAAAATGGTAATGAATACTTTTAAGAATGGAGCAGTTTGCACCACTGTCGATGGTCATTCGTTGTGGGGTTGCAGTCGTTAAAATTGATGGACCTGGCAAGGTGAACGATTTTGTTTCTCTTATTGCTATCATTGTTGAGGTATCTATTACAAGCTGCCATTAATAGCAAGTATTATATCACATATGCGATAACATGTATTTGTTACATGTATTTCACGCTATTAATGATCGAATTTCCTCTAAAGGAGAACGTACTGAATGGTGCAGTAATAGAGGCATTTGGTAAATTGATGGAAGATGTGCAAAATCGTGGTGATATCAACGCCATATTGGTAATGTCAGCTAAACACAATAGTTTTATTGCGGGCGCTGATGTTGAAATGCTAAAAAATGCTAAGTCCGTTCAAGAAGCTACCGAAATGTCTCAAAATGGTCAAAGGAAATTTCAACAACTCGAAGACAGTCAAATTCCGATTGTGGCCGCAATAATGGGTTAGTCGCACAAATCACTCAAAGCCAAAGTTGATGATATTCCTTTCAACGAGTTTTAATTCCTCGAAAAGTCTCTGAACTCTTATCAAACAACTTTAATTGCTAATTCCCAAATCTCAGGCATCGCAAGCAGACGTTTTTCTTTTGTCTCAACCGCATTCGGTGATGGCATTCAAAATGCTAATCATTTCCTTGGCTTCTCTCACCTCTTAACTTTGCAAGAGATTCTACAACGAACACTTATTTCGAGGGTCTCGATTCTCCTTACTTCGAAGTTTAACAATCCTTTATGACGAGCTTTTTATAGGATCTTGCATGGGCGGAGGGCTGGAGTTGGCTTTAGCATGTCATTATCGTATCGCAGTGAGAAGCGATCGAACTGCGTTTTCGTTTCCCGAAGTACGTCTTGGTCTTTTACCTGGTGCAGGCGGTACGCAAAGGCTGCCGAGAATTGTCGCGTTACCAACTGCTCTTGACATGATGCTCAGCGGACGTTCGATTGATGCGCAAAAGGCGAAGCAATTCGGCATTGTTGACGTTCTACTTGATCCTGTTCTCAACGTAACATCTACACATTGCAAACCATACATTTGATATACTATAAATGAATCGAATCATTGTTATCGATTCAAAAGTTTGTCAACTAATGGCAAAAATTCAAAAGATCTGCTCGTTTGCTTCCATTTTACTATTCAAGGATCTTATTTGTAAAGGTTAACCAAACGGATATGATTTCGATCCGGAAAAAACTTGACGAACTTGATTGTAAGCAAGAAATGATTCAGGAAGACGGTGAAGTGGATGGTGCAAAATCATTATGTTATCTTGAACAGATTGGAGTGCAGGCAGCACTTCGATTGGCGACAAAAACACTGAAAGTTGATCGTTGTGCATCATTATGGCAAACTGCTTATCAGTGGATAATGTCATCGTCAATCGTTTGGAATCGTTTCATAAAACCTTCCACAATCTCAATGGTTACTCCTCTATCCATCGTGAAATATTTTAGCATCCTTGAGCTGCCCAGTTGGTAGTAACCTAAACACATTCTCATGCGATCAAACATGTTTCTTCTAGTATTGTAGTAATCGAGGGAAATGGCTTGAATGAATGAGTGATTACCTAATCATTCATCTCTTTAAGATTTATAGCAAGGGTGGTAACCATTATCCAGCAACGTACGCTATTTTGAAATGCATCGAAGATGGTGTCTTTCGAGGACCGTCGATTGGTTATGCCACTGAAGCTGAGGTGAACGATGCGATTTAATCTCTATTACGAATGACGAACGCTTCATTCANTTACATTATAGAATGTGGTCGTTAGAACAGCAGATAGTTGTTTTCTTTTTATGTGATGTTAGTTAGCGGTACATTGGCAACATTCTTATAAGCAGTGAAAATGTTGAATGACTGTTCAATCAGATAGTTGCCACCCATCTAACACCAGTTGATCTTAACACTGTTCTTTATCACAAAAAAAATTTTATTTGCTCATTCAGAAAAAATTCAGCTTGAAATGAGTACCTTTCAACTTTAGGAGTTCGGTCAGTTAACACAATCGAGTCAATCAAAAGCTTTAATTGGCCTATTCAATGCATCCACAAAATGCAAGAAACAACGTTTCGGCTCTCCAGAACCAATTAGGTATTACAACACCCGTTGGTGGGCACCCAGTGAAGCCTCACTGATTGCCTAAACTGCTAAAGAATACTCTTTTTTTTTTGGTGGAAAATAATCCGCTAGCAGCACTACTGATGATAAAATAGCAAAAACTTCTCGCTGAAAGTGCCGTTTACCAAAAAAAAAA